TACTCAACTAATTAGTTCACCTCAATCAAGCATCAACTGTTAAATCAACCTAAATCATGACTGAACGTAAGCCAGTGTAATTGAAATCGATAGCCATTTCATACATTCTAACCAAACTAACCGCGCTTATAACTGCACACACCGGGGTCGGAAAAAACCACTAACAACCGTTATATTTGAAACCACGGTTATCATACAGTAAACCGCGGTTACGAGTGCACACACCGCGGTTTTTGTGAACGCGGTGCAAGAAACCGCTGTGAACCGCAGTTTTCAGCGGTTATCAATTTGACACCGCGGTGGTGTGCGATGAAACCGCGGTTTTCGTATAAAAATTTTTCCGTGGGTATAACATAAAATAAAATAGAACCTTATGAAGATGAAAGAATAAGACGAAAAAGTAATTGACAATATAATGATAAGTTCTATTATTATCGACACACTATTAACATATTAATAATGTAAACTTAAATTTTATTTTCTTAGAAATATTTTCGATAGTAATGACTATTGAGGATTGTTTAATCAAAGAAAGTAAATATTGTTGAAAGTGTTTTATATAAATAAATTTTTATTTAGAAAATATTTAATCTAATTGAGATTATACAAGTATATTATGTTAAATATCTAAATTGTTATTCAATATACATTCAAAACTAAATCAGTATATTTGTTAGTTTTTTCGTAAAAAAAATATCTTCAAATCTTAAAACTTTGTGTTTATAAACTACCTTAGTTAATTATGTTGTCATCAATTAATTTTATTAAATCTTGACATTTATATTGAAAAGTAGTTTGAAAAATCTAAAAGTATATAACTATATTATTTATGTTAATAAATACGATCTATTTAGCTGTTTATCATCAATTAGTTAATAGTAGAGTAGCCATGAGTAGAAAGAAATATTGTTAACTTACATAATCATTTCTTGGTTGCAACATCAAAATTATCTAATAATTTCAGTTTTCGGCTTTTTATTGATTATTTAAGCAAATCATCATGAAAAGATAATGAAGAATCTAATGCTCGCCGTGACTCGGATATATTTGAACGTTATATATTTATAAAACGCCTTCATCAATATGGCAATAAACAGGATAAAAAAAGAAATTTAAATCTTAAACTGTTGTATTACAAGATTCTAATGGTTTAAACTTAACAATAGAGGAATTATGGTAAAAATTTTGTTGTTTTTATTTATCAGTAGAAAAAGAAAAAAAATTCATGAATTAAAAGAAGAACTTAATGTTGATGAAGAATATTTATTTAAACATTCTAAATTAAGAAAATATCATTAAAAGAATTTAAAAGAAATGTTTTAAATCTAACACATATTAACATGAATATAAGCAAAAAAAATAAAATATATTGAGAATATAACTTTTATACTTAAATAATAGAAAATTGACAAAAAAATTTAAAACAAAGAAAAACAAGAAGAAGAAATTAAGTTATTCATTCACTATTAATATATTTTTATTAATTAAATAATATTTAAACAACTTAAATATTATTATATTATTGATGAAGATATTTAATTTTTACAACAATTATAAATATTTGGTAACATAACATACAGATATTTTATTTTATTTTATTTTATTTTATTAAAAATATAAATACATTTTTCACTAATAGTTAAATTATTAATTTTAACATAAATATTTAATTCGGATTTATTTTCACTATTTTTTTAATGATAAATCAATTGTTTATATTCTTAATCATTTATTTCCTGTTGATATTTATTATATAAAAGCTCGTGAAGTTGTTCATATAACTAAATAAAACTGTTATTAATGTTTTAAAAATTCAAGTAAAATAATCATTAAGTGATATTTTACTCTTTTATTATTATCAAGAAGATATTGAAAAAATTAATGAAATTTTATTTAAAAGAGATAGAAGATTACGAGCTATAATAAAATTATTAATTATTTTACTTATATATTTATATTCTATTGTCATGTTAAACAAATATATCTATTATGTTAAATATTAACGTTTCATTCAACGAAATGAATTTATCAAAATTATTTTAGATAACTATTATTAATTAAATAAAAGTTTAAGTTTACATTTTTATAAGAGAAATCTACAACAATAATTAATAGTTCCATAGAAAAGTCAAATTAATCAATAAAAAATACCTTTGCACATAAAACATTATGTGAAAGATATATTTTATACAATAAAATTGAGAAAATTTGACAAGAATTATTACTTATTTTCATATCGATCTATCATACTATTGAAAAATTCAAATATTAAATAAATTCAAGATTAAACATCACAAAAAACTAAAATTAACTACTTAGTGTATTTATATAAGTCTTCAAAGAAAAAGAAAAAGATAAAGAAAAAGAAAAAGATAAAGAAAAATCGTTTCTATTAATGTATTCATTATGTTTTATTTTCTAAAATTAAACAATGTATTCAATGACAAAACTACTGTACATATATTATTGGTTATTATTCGACGATGACACAATGATGAATTGATCGTTTATTTCTTTTTTTCTACGGATAATATTCACGGATTTTTTTCCTCACTTATTTTTCGAATATTGTATTGATGTGAAAAGAAAAAGAAACAAGAATCTGCGGACCTTTACTTTCTTTCTTTTTCTCTCTCTCTCTCTCTCTCTCTCTCACGTGACAAATATGTTGATTAACGATCACGGTTCATTGCACACTTTTATATAGAGACAAAAAATACTTTTTTAGCTTTCATTTTAGCAATCATTATGAGTTCAGAGGAACAAAACGCCGAGGAACAGCAGCATCGACGTACTCCTTATGTGTAAGCTCTATTCGAGTCATTATTTATTAATTATTTTCATCTATATGTGATATGTTAGGGAGAAAATGCAGGAACTTCCTGCACGTGACCCACCAATACTATATAAACCATTAAAACCAAAAGATTTTTTTGAAAAGGTAAACTTAAATGTGAACAATCGTTCTATTTTCTATCAATGTTTAGTATCGTGATGATATCACCAGCAGAGTTTATAAAGTTTGGCCTAAAGTACAAAAAGACTTTACATTAGAACCATTTCAATCATCTTTTCGTTACTATGACTATGGTGGTCAATATCTTTTTATGGTTTGTTTTTATTTATTTTAATAAATATAAAAAAGTGATAACTTTTTAACTTTGTTTTGTTTATTATAGTGTGATTTACCTGACGGACGACCAACATATATAACAGTTACTGAATCATTTGAAGTGGAAGATGGAGAACTAGCTAATGATGACGAAGAACGACGACGACGACTATGTATCAGCGTCAGCTGAATATTGTTAAAAAAAAAATTTTTTTTATCAAATTTATTAGCATGATCAACGATCGTAATTTAAAGTGAACATGTGTTTTTTAATTTCAATTAAGAAAATATATTCCATTTAGAAGGGAAAAAGAATTTTGAAAAAAAAAAAAAACAAATCTCGTCAATACTTTGTTGAATGATTAATAGAATTAATGAATTTTAATGAAATTTCAATTAATTATATCTTTATTCTATATCTAAAATGATTTAGGTGATGAAATCATGGAGATATTTTAGAAAACAGATTTTTCCTTTCTCATTTTTCTTAGCTAAGGAATAATTAATACTTGTCAACAGCTCTATAGAGTGTCTAGAATTTTTTTTTACAATGAAAGTCAGAGTAAATCTCTAGTTTCAAATAACATCAATAGAATATTTTATAAAAAATAAAAATCTATCAGATCAAAAAAATGATATTTATCAGTATTAAATATTTAGGATTATGACAATTTTTCAATTTTAAACTTAGAAAATCTCTAGATATTTGGAAAATATAAGCAAAATAGAGTATCAATAAAATGGATTATTAGACAAAAACAGAACCTTTTACAAAAAACAATTGATAAATTTATCGTTATAGTAATAATATGGCATGAGTTAAATTCACAAGATAAAGTTCTTAAGGTAGGTGACTGCACAAAGTGTAGCAACCGACTTATGATTTTTCAGTTAGTTGATAAATTAACAGTAAACTCGAATGGGTGAGAAAAGTCGATATCATTAATACACACTATTGTCATTCATCGCAGTATAGGGTAAACTGATGCATTCACAATTTCACTTAGAGTATCACTTATAATCAAAATCAATTAATACACAAGATATTTGATTATGTGTCATTCAGGTCATAAAATTCTATCTAACCTAGACTACAGACCAGAATAAAATTTAAAAACTCTGCTTAGCCTACTAAGCGCCTACAGACTACCCGATCAGGCTGGTATCTCTGGTGTATAAATGATTGATCTTAATGAATTTCTAAAAATCACTATGTTTATTTCTCTGATTAGAAATAAAGAGCACGTAATTAATATTTTCAATCTTTGCTCGAGACAATTGTTGTTTGATCTCAAATTTCTATCATAAATACGTTTCTTGTAAGTTGCTTTTATCTAAAAGTTGAATTCCTAAACAATGAAACTTATTAAGTGAAATATTTTATAAAGCGTCACTTTTTTTATACATAGTCAAAGAGCGTAAGTTTATACTAAAGTATAATTGTGTAAGTTTAAGATAGTATATTTTCTTGTTCTTGTTCTTCTTATAAATGTAAACTATTAAGATTGATTTGTTAGCAGGAAAATAATCAGTTTCTATAATAAAAGTATAAAGGAGATATTTAAATTAGTCTTTTCAGTAAATTGACTTTTGAATGATTCTTTAAAATCAGAGAATAATAAAAATTTTATTTTACTTTTTAAAAATTATTCTTAAAATGAAATTAAAAATTTAATAATACCATTAAAATTTATAAACATTAAAAAACACAATTGTAAGAAGATTATATTAATACTATTTGAGAAAATTCAAATAAATTAGTTCGATTATAATTTACAACTGGAATTATTAATTTATGTTAACACCACAAATAACTTGACATTGACGAATTATACATAATAATATTCATATTATTATATAACATAAACAAGATATGTTAAATTAAACAAAACTATGTTTTATTTTGATTGTTTTTATAGATATGTCTGTCCATATGGATCCAAGAATAACACAATAAAGTAGAAAAGTGAGAACAACAATTAACGGTTAAATGATAGAAATTCATTGAAGATTCTGAAAATATTTCAGACAAGATTTTATCTAATGATTAATTAGATGAACTATTGGATAAATCAATGATTGATTATTTTATCATTTCATTGTTGAAAATATTATGATTACAGAAGAAAAAAAAACCAAATAGTTCCAATATATGAATTTTTATCTTGATAAATAAATACAAAATTGTTAATTATTGTCAAATCCTATTGTGCCATTTAGCGTTCTCTGTTATCTGCGATAACCTTTCATTTTCTTTCTATTAGCATTAAATTCGTTTGATGAGTCTTTCATATTGTCAGATTATTCTACGAATAATTGAAATCAAAGTAGCAGATCTTCACCATTATATTAGTTTGATCAATTAACGAATTTGACAATCACATGGAGTGCAGACTTGACACAATGAGTATTTATATATATATATATTGGAGTTTATCTTCCTAACAAGTATCGTTTTATCTGTTTAGTATAACGCAAATGAAAAGTTATTCTAATTTAATAGGTCGATTTAAATTTCACCCCAAACAAAATTCGACTCTTATTGGGTATTAAACATAATATTCATTCAAAATCAACCTAACATTCGTTGTTAGACAATAATGAATATTTTCTAATCTAAAGGAATATGCGATTATTCTTATGCAGTCTATGAATATTTTGAAAAACTTTTATCTTTTATCATTGAGCATCATTTTTACATTTTTCACAACAATAAATTGAAGCTCCTTTACAGATTCATTTAATAATACTACTGAAAATGGATTTTTACTCATGTATGATAAAATTGAAAGTAAAACAAAAGAATATTTATTGATAAAAATACTACTAAAAAGTCACTGGTATCAAAATAGAAAAAAAAAATTTTTGTTTATGTAATAGTTTTTCGACGCCGTTTGATTGTTATAGCAAAAGTCTTGTTGTTTAATCGATTAGTTTCGTTAAATGACATTAATCGCTTAATGACTCGACGTTCTAGAGAAAGAAAGAAAAAACAAAAAAAACGGTAATATGTTAAGGAATTATTTTAAATAAAAGTCTATCAAAAAGATAAACAATTGTTTCAGTTGTTTTATTTTAATTATCAATAATAATTATTAGTCAAAAATAGTCACAAATGTTTCTAAAACAAACGAAACTAATTTTAATTCAGAAAAATAAATAACTTTTAATAGTCAATTGACAAGAAGAAATAAATGAAAATTTTATTTGACTATCGTCAATAATTGATTTAATAGGAATTATTTGTAACACAACACAACGTACTTTATTATTTTTTAGAAAACTACAGATCAAATCATCTTGACCTGTACGATTAACTATATATATACTAGTCATAAGCGAGATCCGTTGTTTTTGGTCTCGGTCTCGGTATAATCATGCTCATATCTAATATATATATTGAATGTGTATTGATGAGTTTGATTTATTGTCTAAGGAACTCACTTCGAATTGTTGAAGATAATGGAAGCCGAAATATATCAGTAGTATTCGAAATATTTAAATCTTAAATATATAAACATTTAAATAAAAATAATAATTATTTATTTGAATTTTTACTTGGACTTAAATAATTGATGTTTAATGTTTCTAAAAATTAATAGCTATAGGAAAATAAAAATAGATTTATTTTTTTTTTTACCATTAATATTTGTTTCGATTTCTGTTGGTTGATCAAGAAATAGTCTCATGTTTATATCTAAATTGAATAGAAAATAGTTTATTAGATAAAAATTAAATTAAAGTTTATTTTACCAATAATTTTATTGATTAATTGAGATGGTTCGGAATCACCCATTCTAACATGTTCGTTATTATCGATCAATGTTAACAATAATGGAATGTTTTCTTTCTTTATACTCATAACTATAATCTTATTTAAATAAAATAATTCAAATTATTTCATAAGTTTAGAAAAATAGAAAAATTTTCATAATCTATTATGCAAAAGTAATCGGACAAATGTCTAATCATATTTATTTTTGGTAGAAACCTAATCAATGAATCATTTTTTTTTTCTATAAGATAGACAATTTCTTTCTTCTTTCGAATTCTATACAACTTATTTTTCCTAGACATTCATAAATAACATGTTTAAACAAGAAAGAGAGAAATACCCTCAAAAATGACACGACATTTTTCATGCTATGTAGAATAAGAGCAGAAAATTTCCGACCTTATGTTTTTTTTTAGTAAACATCTTTTAGAACAATTATCTATTTTTTTCAGCTGATAGAAAATGTTCTCCTCTTTTAAACAGTATATCATTTATATTGATTACACAATCATAAATGAAATAACAGAAGAAAAATAGACAAACGACTGCAACACAAATTTCTAATTTTAATATGAATTCGTCAAAAATATATTTCTTGTTAACAATTAATTCGATCTTTGTGGGATCACCTAAAAGATTTTGTAAAATGATGATTACTTCGGCTTTTATGAACTCATGAAAAACATCTTGTAAATTGACAATTAATTCTAATTAACTATTGTTTACAAAATATTTTTGAGAAATTCATAAAGTTTATAAATTTATGGCACGAATCTTTCTCTTTTTTCTCTTCTCTTTTCAGTTTACTAATGTTTGACAAATATTCATTATACACTGTTCAAAACAATAGATATAAGGATCAACATTTTGTTCAGTTCTATTATAAGAAAAAAGTGCGGAATCATTTTGAGTGTGCTTTTCTCTTTCTTATTGTGACATTTTATTAATGAATGTCTAGGAAAACTAAGTTGTATAGAATTCGAAAGAGGAAAAATATTCTCGAGATTTTGATAAAAAAAGAAAAGAAAAAAAGAAAACATTTTCTTTCAATAGGTTTAATTCTATCGAAGAGAAATCGAGTTCGACATTTGTCCCGTTTTGTTTTCATCATAGGTTACTTTAAGATAATTCTTTTTCCACTCGATGATAGATATGTTTATCTGATTATAATGGATAAATAAAAAGAAGAATTACTATTTTATCTAGATTCAGTTTTGTCTTTTGAAAATATTTATATGTTTTTTAGAATATAAATACAATTTATACACTATCTAAAATGAAAAACAGTTATAATTCGTTGAGAAAAATATTTTTTTTGTTATAGTAATTTTCCATAAAAAAGCATAATGCATTTATATTTATTTCTTGTTTGACATAAACTTTTATATTAACATCAATTGAATATTGATGTCTAATGAATAATTCTAGAAAAAATAAAGTGTTTCATGTAACAATACATCGAAGAATTTAAATTTAGTAATTCAACAATTAACATCCATTGATAAACTAAGACATAACAGACATGTAGGATTTTTCACTAATTTTCTAGAAAAATTCAAGTTTTTAAAGCATTTTTGCTCTTCTTTCTGTCTGTTTCAAGAATTTTCTATAACTTGTTTTCTAGAAAAAATAGAAATATTACTAAAAAACATAGCATAAATTCAAGCGTTTATAAAACTTCCTGTAGAAACTTCGGTAAACAAAGAAAAATATTTATTTGTTAGGCATATTAATATGACTCAAGATATAAATAATGATAGGAATAGTTGGTGATGCTGTGATATAGAAATGATAAATGTTAAAAATAAAAAATGAATAGATTTATCAATATGAGGTTGAATCTAAAAAAGATTATTTGAAATATTTCACACATAAAATATAATTTATTATAGAAAAAAAAAATATTTATCACTGGAAAATAATTATTGTTAATAATAAATTTTTCTTGACATAGTGTATATATATATATTTTATCTTTTTTTATTTTTCTTGATGAAGTAATGAATTTAAATAATTTATCCTTTTTTTCTGTGTTTTTTTTCTTATTATTATGCATCTCATTTTTGCTACTTTTTATGTTTCATTTTAGTAATGCCTGTAGAAACATTCGTTACATGCTATCATTTTATCACTTTCTTTTTTATTGAATTTATATTTATAGAAAGATAAAATCTGTTAGCATCCTTTTTTTTTTTTTTTTTTCTTTTGTACATATTTTATTGAAAAAAGACATAAAGAACTATAACACTTACTATTAAATAGTTCTTTTGACATAACTACAAAGTTAGAATATTATATATAAACAAAATATAATAGATCTTGCCATGAGAAAGGCTACGATGGACTAGCACGCTCATTCTACCTTCTCCACTTTTTACATCACGTCTCAGAAATTTGATATTGCACCTTTTCTTAGACATTTTCTCTCAGATAAATTTCCTCTGTCACATATAAATAAACTATCGAAAGCTCTGCTTATTCTATAGTTACTAACCTGATTATAAATAACATGAAATAATATATTATCGATATTTCATTGATTTTTCTCTTAGAGAACGATGATGTTCCATTTATGTTCCTCAATATTGTTTAATAGAGTAATGTAGAAACGATGTGCACTTGTAAAATCGATTAAAGACGATAGAATAAAATTCAATTTATACATATATCGGCTTCACCACGTAACGCGTCACTTTTTTTTTACACCACCAACTTCAGAAATCACATTTTTTTATTAATATATTCTAGTACAAAGCAACTAAAAACAATTTGTTTCTTCTAGCAAGAAGCGATGTTGTTAAATTTATTAACTACTTAGAAGATCTTGAAAGGAAATAAGGATGTTATAAATCTTGATTTTCGTCATCGTGTTATGTTAATTAAAACGAAATCTCATGTAAATAAATAGTATATTTGAGCAACTTTTTTTTCTTCCGTTTCATACTCAAAACTGTTGGCTATAAATCTTTTTTGAATTACTTTTTCCAATGTATCAGATATTCGTAGAAGATCAACAACAATCATGGTACCCTCAACTTTTTGTCCTTTTTTCGTCATCGTCTTTCGCTATATATTTTTGGTATAATTTTCAAATGGCTAAGCCAAATGAAGTCAAATTTTGTGGAATGGAATGGAATGGAAGCATAGAGACATACCTTTTGACGAAAGAATTAAATTTTTAATTGGTCCGATTGGTGAGAAAGATTAAAAATACTGTAGTCAAAATGTAATCGCGTTATCCTCGTTGAAGCCGATATAGAAATATCATGTCAATGATCAATATCAAATAAAGATAATATTATAAGTAGAAATAACGTTATTTAGAAAACAAAATGATAAGAATCTTTTTTTTTGTTTCTATCTACTTTTGTAATCTAATATTTATAATCAATCATCAACAAAATCGATGATAGTTATGACATTATTTTTTTAAAAATTTCTTTCAAAAGAACAATGTTAAAATCATATGCATATTTGCAAATAATAAAAAGAAAAAGAAAAGAATCACTTGTGTGATCGATTGGTAAATATAATTAAGAGAAAATATCTTTGTCCTTGATCTGCACACATATAAGCAAATAATAACTAAAAAATAATAATTATTTTTTTTTAAGACTAAAATACTTTGTTTCTTATTGTAAACATTTATTTTTATGTTAAAGTTCTTTCTAGAAAAAAAAGAAAAATATCAGAAAATAATGATAATCCATTAAAAATGATGTATCATTGAAAATTGTTAATGAAAACAAAAAAAAAGAACAGGAAAAATAATAAACATGTTATTTTCTTGTATTAATAAGAGAAATAAAATATAAGTTATTCATTTATTTCTATTATTAAGAAATAAGTTATTTTTTTTCATTCTATAATATATAAATCAAAAATGAATTTCTTAATTTAATATGAAAGATGCATTACTCAACACAATCAAGATTTATTCTCTATTTTAATAACATTTCAATAATATAATAACTTTAAACATTATGAAAATGTTTTATTACTTAACTTGATAAGTTTAGGATATTTTTATTCAATGAAAATAAACTTTTCTAATTGTAAATTTCCATTATTGTTTATAGTGACTTTTCAAATGTTGTCTTTAAAAATAAATATTCATATTATTATAAATGAAACATCTATAAATCCATGTTGTTTTCCATTATAATCTTATGTTTATATATAAAGTTTTTTTTTTGTGTACTCAAAAAGTGAGTACACTCTAGAATCGGTCAGTATGTCCGTCCGTCCGGCCGTTAACACGATAACTTTTGAAAGGAGAGTCCAATCGCGATGAAATTTTCTACACAGTTCAGTCTTAATAATGTCTCGGTCGAGTTCGAAGATGGAAAGAATTGGCTGAACCATTCTTGAGTTATTTGAAAAAGAGTAATTTTGTGTTA